ACCCTCATGACAAAATAAAAATTCAAGAAAAGAATATTCTCCAAAGATACTTCTTTAGAAGTGTATTAGCAAATGCCCTAAACAAGTTGCAGAATCCAGAAATGCTCTGGAGGAAGTGAGCGTACTTACACAGATTGCAGTGTGCCTGTAAGGAAGTGTAGCCTTCTTCACGCACTGCCCATTGGTGACATTCCAAACACACATCTCCCTAGCAGAGACAACTTTGTATTATTCTCTGTCATTTCCATTCAATTGGCTGGAATAATTTTTGTGCCACCAAGTTTTTCTTTAGTGCTGCACTTAAGTGCAGCCTGATCATTTATGTGGCTTTTTGTTACAGATTACTGGGCAAGAAAATGTTGTGGTCATTAGCAGGGATGACATGCTGTATCTGTATCTTTCTGTTTGGGTAATTACGCCCTGCTGCCAACCTGCAAACCTTATGTTAGGGACAACCCAGCCTACAACAAATTGTGGGGATACAGCAATCACAGCCTCTTAGTGACAGTAGAACAATCTTTCCATGGAAACTGTATCCTCTTGAAAATGCTTTATTTCACTGAACTTAAACTACATATTCTGAAAATCATAATGCATCAAGTGCTGCATCTTCTGAGGCCAGCATATTACCTCTGTAAAAACAAACAGTGCCATCAAGAGGCTACATTTGGTCTATCATTGATAACAGTTTATCTCTGCTACTCCTGACTTGAAATTCTGAAATCATCCTTGCCATTTAATATTTAGAAAATCGTTATTATTTCAAAAAACTCTTACTTGGTTATATATTACAAAGACATCAAATACAGTTACAAAATACACCCAGCACAGGGTGGTTTATATGACTTCACAAAAATCAGAATGGCAGTTTCAGGATTGTTTGGTAATATTCTTCAGTCTTGACAGTTTTAACACATAAGCAAAATTCTCCATGCAAGAAAAACATAAGTTTTATAGGCCTTAAAGGAGATACTGCTATTATATTAGGAAGCAAAATATATAGACTAATTGTGTTAACAACTGTATGCTTTTGGCATTTGTGGGCTTTTTCATTTTTCTAACCAAACACTGGAACTCAATCTTCTAAATGAGTAGTTCTTAAACTGGGTGATTTAGCTACCCCCTATTCCCCCTACATTCCAAGGACACTTGGTAATATTTGGAGATATTTTTGGTTGTTAGAATCAGGAACACACTACTGGCATCTAGTGGAGAGAGGCCAGGGATGCTGCCAAATAGCCGGCAATGCATAGGACGTCCCCCACAGCAAAGAATTATCACTTCCTAAATGCCATTAGAGCTGAGTTGAGAAATTGCATTCTAGGAATAGACACTAAATAGTCATAGATTTTTCCCCTATATTTATATCCAACCTCATTCCAAAAAGATTTGAGGTAACCTGGAAAGACATATAATTCTATAAAACAGGAGGAAAATAATCTCTGTGTGTGTGTGTCTGTGTGCATGTACTAAACAGTAAGATTGGGAGGAAGGTAAATATTGAAATAATATATCTCAAAAGTAAAGCAAACTAATAATGCCTCTATAAAATAAAGAAATGTATCTCAAAGTTAAAGTAATTGAACCTTAAGCAGTCAACGTTATAAAATTTTAGCTCTTTAAGGGATTTGATTTTATTGACAAGGTTTTTGACTCTAGCTATGCATCAACAACCACCTAATACTTTTCCAAAAATTACCTCAGAGATTCCAGTTCCATGACTCTGTGTTGGGATCTGGTATGTGTGGCTTTGAAAAGCACCTGGTCAGCTGACTTCTTTCTAGCCTTTTCCTAAATCAGCACCTCTAAATTCTGGCTATACAATAGACTTATTTGAGAACTTTTTAAAAATACTGATGGCTGACCCAATGCAGATATCAAATCAGGCCAATTAATTCATATTTTCCAGGGATGGGCTCTGGACATCAGAGGAAATTCCTTTGAAAATACTAATGTATTTAAACCATCTTGGATCCCAGTGCTTTCCTTGCTTTCCCTATTTGTTTGCTTATCATTTTCTTTTCTACATTAAATCTGAAAAATGCAAATATATCACAAAGTGAAAATTTGCTCTTGCCTATCAATTTTATTTAATAAAAGAAAGGAAATTTGTGGTGTATCAAATGTAACACTGATATCTTACCTGGGACCATATAAGTTACATACATAAAAGTAAGACAAATCAATCTACTGAAAAGCATGTACTTTTCATTTTCTAAAATTGTCACCTAAGTTTGTACACAGCTAAAATCAACTTTCATTATAAAAAAATTAAATTTAACAATTTAAACACTTTAAAAATCGTAAATTTTTACTTCAATGAAATAAAAAACACAGATGAAGTTGTCTGCAACATATAAAATTAGAAAATTGTTACATTCTCACTACGAGTTCCTTGAAAAGGGGCACTTTTTGGTCATAGTCTACTTTACAACCCCACCTTAGCACCTCAATAAAAATATATTCCGTGGATAAATGTATTGGCCACCATTCTTCCACACATTTTCTATCTTTTGGAAATACATTATCTTCTCCTGACCTCATTCTTATTTCTCATATCTGTGTGCTTATAATACTATCGTTTTGCTCAAACTTTAAAAGAAGTGTCTGGAAGGAGAGGAGATAAGCATAAATACTTGCTTTGCTATCTTGCATTGGAAGTCTATGACATTTTTCAAACTTTTTTCCTTTGTCTCCCTTTATACTTTCATTTTTTCTTTGGCATTCTCAGACTCCTCTTCTTCCTCTGTCTGCTTCTTAAGTGCTGGTTTTCTCTAGACATTTGTCTTATACTTTCTTAACATCCTTACACTCTCTTTCTGGGTAAGTTATCTACTCCCCTGGCTTCAGGTACTATTATTATGCTACTGGGAGCCCAGACCTGTTTACCTGAGCACTATATTTCTATATGCAACTAACTTTTAGATATCTCCATCTGTATGACTTTCAGGAGATCACCCTCTTGGTGTTCAAAACGAATCATAGCATCTTCCCTCTGGTTCACTATCTCAATGAATGATATCATTACTAATAAATTTCCCGTTATTCTTGACCCGACATTTTCTCTCACTGCCCCAAATATGGGTACTCGCTGCTCCAAATATGTGCTCTGCGCCAACAGTACCAGCATTGCCTAGGAATGTTTTAGAAATGCAAGTTAACAGGCCCCAGCCTACGTACTAAATCCGTATTTTCGGTAGTGAGGCCCAGAAATTTGTAATTAAACAGGCTCTGCAGGTGCATGCTCAGGTCTGAGAAGCATTCTCCTAGCGTCCTCCAAGTCCTGCTGCCCTACTGCTCTGGGGTCATCTCTTGCCAGTGACTAATACTTTTATTAATAAGTAATAAACCTTTCTACTGGTACCAAGGATTTTTGCCTTAAAATTTAACTATACATATACATTTATATAGAATATTAATACAGTTATACCAGCCTTATTTTGACCACTATACATCTGATAAAATGTAATTGGAACGACTGTTTTATTCAGATTGACTTCAGCTAACTTATTTTGTGCCATTTGTCCCATTTTTAAAACATTTTTGTTTTCTTTGAATTAAACAACATTTTCTTTTTAAATTGAAAGTTACATGCTCTTTATTTTTTATTTCCTTTTTCTGTTGTTTTAGTTGCTACTAAACAATACTTGAAATGTAAACATATGAATATAGCTTAAGGTGTAAAATTAATCAACATATTTACCCACCTCTAGAACATCAGAATATGTGGGATCTTATCACTACATTACTAATACGCTACTGTTGACCAGAATTGCGTGTGTGTGAGTGGGTGTACACAAATATCATTATGTCTTATAGTCTGTGTTTATTTAAATGTTCTACAACTTTGCTGGTTTTCGTTCCATATTCCTTGTTCCAACTCGCATCTTCCTTCTGAAATCATTGCTCTTTTTACTAAAGAATATCATTTAGAAAAGTGTTATTATACTTATCAAGAGTTTGTTGGTAGTGAGCACCCTTAGTTTTTGTTAGTCTGAAAGTTTATTATTTTGCCCCAATTTTTCAAAGGTGATTTTGTTGGATATATAATTTCAAGCTGACAGATATTTTCTCTCCACTTTTTGAAGGGATTTCACTGCTGTCTTCACTGTTGGAAAGTTAGCTCTCTCCTTGATTAACATTCCTTTGTAAATAATCTGCTTTTTCTCCCTGTCTACCTATAGGATCTTCTCTTTTTATTTGGCATTCTGTTGTTTTAACATCAGACCTCCAATAGTTTGTTTATTTTTCTTATTCTGGAATATTCTGTGATTGCTGAATGTGAAGGTGTATGCCTACAAATAAAATATTAATTTGGGAAAAATATTAAAGCAACTCTGGGTCCCTCTGATTACCATGGAGGCAAAAATGCTAAGTCCATAGCCAATATCCAGGACTCCTCAAATCTAAAAATGCCTTGTTGTTTGGAAAACAGTGGGGCAAACCTAGTAAGGGTAATAACTTCCAGTGGATAAAGTTAAGATTTGCTAAGTACACAGTAGAAATCTAGGTACTGCCTAAGAAGTATTTACAGATACAGAATAAGTTTTAGAAACCTCAAAAGAACAAAGTTCTAGAAAATTCAAATCAGCCTGGTGAAGGAGGACAGCTGATTAGACTGAAGCTAAACTCCTGGGCTCGTTATTAATATTTACAGAGCTCATACCGCGGAATTTATCTTTCATCAAAAACATATGCAGTAACTCTTGTTTCTCTTTTGTAGTTAGACTACCATGGGCAAAAACCTGAAGCTGAAACTCAGTAACTTTTCAGATCTTTTTCTCAGCTATACATATTTCTCAATTCTTCATGTTGTCCCAGAAAAAAAATTCACCATCCCCCAAATTCTCTAGATTGGGAATAAATATCTCAGCTTGTGTAGCAGACTTTGGGGCAGACCTAGTGAATGAAAACTACAGGCAAAGGTTAAAAAAGGAATGGATTAGGACATTTCACTTTAGACATATCCAAAGTTCAATCCCTCTAAATATTACTATTAATGATTTACTATAAGCTATGAAAATAGGTATCTATTTGATATCTGTTCAACTAGCCATTTTATTAAACTATTCTGTTTATACAAGATGGACCTTGATTCTTCATTATTCTTTCGGTTTTCAGAATCCAGAAGCATATAATTTCCCTTTGGATTAGGAACAAAAGAGAGGGTTATCTTGTTTCAACTAGCAAGCCAAACCTCTTATTCACAAATGCACACTGAACTGATACCATCTTCCTGAATATATTTTGGCAAATAACTTGTCAGGAGCCTAGTTCATAGCATTTCTTCCATCAGTGGGGCTTTTTCTTACAGGTGAGTCCTATTTCATGGGAGCAAGGTTTGCTTCCATGAAACTGCACCGAAATCACTGGATATGTTCCTTCCTCAGTTTCTCTCCTACCATTCTACTCACGATTGAGTCCTCTCCTCTGTTAGTTTTATTGATTTGTTTTTATTTTATTTTTTGAGATGGAGTCTTACAGTGTCACCCAGGTTGGAGTGCAGTGGTGCCATCTCAGCTCACTGCAGCCTCTGCCTGGGTTCAAGTAATTCTCCCTGACTCAGCCTCCTGAGTAGCTGGAATTACAGTCACCACCACCATGTCTGGCTAATTTTTTCTATTTTTAGTAGAGTCAGGATTTCACCATGTTGGTCTCAAACTCTGATCCCAAGTGATCTGTCTTCCTCGGCCTCCCAAAGTGCTGGGATTACGGGCATGAGCCATCATGCCCAGCCTGTTAGTTTAAAACAGCATCAAACAAGGGTACAACATGAAGATTGTAACTATTCAATTGTTATATAAAGCTATAAAAACTTGGATGGGTTTGCTTAAGAGCTCAAAGTGAGTTACTACATGAGAAAAGACAAGCACCTAGACTTTTCTATTGCTGCTTCTAGAATACTAGGCATTTTTCACTAACCTTCACCCAGGAAGAGTGCCACAAGCTCTGATACACATGTTGAGATGCTTATCTTGGTCCCATTCCAGCAGCAAAAGTATTGAGTGAGACTTCATAATACTGATTACATTCCTTGGGATCATTGCACAAGTTATTCAAACTTTGATGATCTAAATGTTCCTATATGTGAGAGGCGCATGTTGATCACAAAGGTTTCTTTCAGCCCTAAACTTGTATCCCATTGTAGTTTTTCAAAAGCGAAGGAAATGGGGAAGGGGACAGAGTTTCCACACTGTACCTACCCGTTTTCAGCAGCACTAATGACATAGGGCTGTTTAGAAAAGTCTCTTGCTTTTGCCAAACATGTTACTGAAGCTGAATGACCAAATAGGAGTTCTTTTGCTGAAATCTAGAAATAATGAGAGTGAGCTTTTAAATAATTGTAAACTGTGTGAAGAATAAAAACACCACAATATAGTATTCACAGTTCTGATTAGGAAATTCTGTTATGTTTTTGCTGTATACAAGTTTCAAGAAAACTGATATATGGAATATCAAAATCCACAGACTAACAAACTTCTAGGTAGAGGAACTGTGTTGCACGCAGGTTTTGTTTGTTTTGGTTTGGTGTCCGTCATGAAACCTCCATGACTGCCAGACCTGTCTTACGACAGCTAGGTTGTGAATACAAATAAGTCTATGTTGATGCTCCCTATGAACAAAATGTCCCCTCAATAAAAGTAGCACATTAATGTGCAGAGTTAGAATCAAAATAACTTTACAAAATAATACAAGAGAGAATATTATCCTTTTTGAAACCTCCATAGCACCCTATATGGTGGTAGGAATGTGAATTGGTACAGCTATTTTTAAAAACGGTGTAGAGGTTCCTCAAAAAAAAAAAAAAGAAAACGTACACATGGCTCAGGATTCCCACTTCTAGGTATATATCCAAAAGAATCAAACCAGTATCCACGTATCTGTACCCACAAGTTCATTGTAGCATTATTCACAACAGCCAAAATATGGAAACAATCTAAGTGTCCGTCAATGGATAAAGAGAGAAATAAAATATGTCACATACAGTCATCTGTCATTATCCATGAGGGACTGGTTTCAGGACACCACCCCCCCAACACCCCACCACATAGGTACCTAAGTCACAGGATGCTCAAGTCTGTTATATAAAATTGCATAGTATTTGCATGTAGCCTGTGGCATCTTTCATATACTTTTTTTTTTTTTTTTTTTTTTGAGACGGCGTTTCGCTCTTGTTACCCAGGCTGGAGTGCAATGGCACGATCTCGGCTCACCGCAACCTCCGCCTCCTGGGTTCAGGCAATTCTCCTGCCTCAGCCTCCTTAGTAGCTGGGATTACAGGCACGTGCCACCATGCCCAGCTAATTTTTTGTATTTTTTTAGTAGAGACGGGGTTTCACCATGTTGATCAGTATGGTCTCGATCTCTTGACCTCGTGATCCACCCGCCTCGGCCTCCCAAAGTGCTGGGATTACAGGCTTGAGCCACTGCGCCCGGCCATCTTTCATATACTTTAAATCATCTCTAGATTACTTACAATACCTGATACAATATAAATGCTGTGTTAATTGCTTTTATACTGTATTGTTTAGAGAATAATGACAAGGGGAAAGTCTGTAAATGTTCAGTACAGATGCAAGCCTCTTTTCTTTTTCCAAGTTTTTGATCCACAGTTGGTTGAATCCATGGATGCAGAAACCATGGACATGAAGGGCTGACTGTATACACAATGGAATGGCATTCAGCTAAAAAATGAAAAAGAAAGAAATTCTGCCATTTGTGACAACATGGATGGACTTAGAGAATATTATGCTAAAGAAAATGATCCAGACACAAAGACAAACACTATATGAGCTTACTTATATGTAGAATCTAAAAAGGTCAAACTCACAGAAACAGAATTCGTGGTTGCCAAGGGCTGGGGATGAGGGAAGAATGAAGTAATGTTGCTCAGAGGGTACAAACTTTTAATTATATATAAGATCCATAAGTTTTGGGATCTAATATGTGCATTGTGATTATAGTTAATACTATATTAACTATAGTTATATGTAGTTAATACTGTATACTTCAAATCTGCTGAGAGAGTAGGTCTTAAGAGTTCTTGCCACACAGACACAAAAATGATGATGTGAGGTGATAGATTTGTTAATTAACTTGCTTGTTGTATTAGTCCATTCTAACACTGCTATAAACAACTACCTGAGACTAGGTAATTCATGAAGAAAAGAGGTTTAATTGACTCGCAGTTCCACAGGCTTAACAGGAACCATGACTAGGAGGCCTCAGGAAATTTACAATCAGGGTGGAAAGTGAAAGAGAAGCAAGCACATCTTACCACGGCAGAGCAGGAGAGAGAAAGAGTGAAGGGGGAAGTACCACACACTTAAACCATAGGATCTTGTGAGAACTCACTATCACAAGAACAGCATGTGGAAAATTGTCCCCAGGATCCAATCACCTCCCAGCAGGTCCCTCCCCCAACATGTGTGGATTACAATTCGACATGAGATTTGGGTGGGGACACAGAGCCAAGCCATATCATTTGTGGTAATCACTTCACAGTGTATTCATGTATCAAATCATCACTCTGTACACCTTAAACCTATATAATTTTTACAAGTTAATTACAGCTCAATAAAGTTAATATAAAAAGGACTAAAATTCCATTAGTCATAGTCTGAATATCAGACCAGTTACCACGGAGGAATTTTTTGGCATCAATTTTCACTTCTAAATTTTCTATATTACCTAAAATTTCTAAAAGTAAAACATTTCTTATTTATATAAAAAAATAAGAAAACATCAAGAAAATAAGAAAACAAGCCACAGACTGAGAGAACTATTTTCAAAAGTCATACCTGATAAAGGATTATAATATGAAATACACAAAGAACTCTTAAAATTCAACAATAAGAAAGTTAAAAACCTAATTAAAATATTGTCAAAAGATCTGAGCAGACACCTCAGCAAAGAAAACATACAGATGGCAGGTAAACATATAAAAAGATGCTCCATGTCACCTGTAATAAGAGAAGTGCAAATTAGAAAAACAATAAGAAACCACAGCACACCTATTAGAATGGCCAAAATCCAGAACACTGGCAACATCAAATGCTGGCAGGGATGTTGCAACAGGAATTCTCATTCATTGCTGGTGAGAATCCAAAACAGGGACAACCACTTTGCAAGAGAGTTTAGTGATTTCATATAAAACTAAATATATTCTTACCACACAACACGGCAATGACGCTCACTGATATTTACCCAAATGCATTGAAAAGTTGTATCTACACAAAAGTCTGTAAAGAAGTGTTTACAGCAGGTTTTTCCATAATTGCCAAAATGTGACAGCAACCAAGATACCCTTCAAGTGGTGAACAGATAAATTATGGTACATGTATACAATGAAATATTATACAGCACTAAAAAGAAGTGAGCTACCAAGCCATGGAAAGATATGGAAAACCCTCTGATATATATTACTGAATGAAAGAAGCCAATCTGAAAAGGTTTTGTGATTCCAACTCTATGACCTTCTGGAAAAGGCAAAACTTAGCAGACAATAAAAACATTAGTGGTTGTCAAGGATGTGGGGAGCAGGAGATAAATATATGGTGCACAGGGAATTTTTGGGGCAGTGAAACTACTCTGTATGATACTATAGTAATGGATCCACCAGTCTGGCTAACAGCATAAACCTCATCTCTACTAAAAATACAAAAATTAGCCAGGGGTGGTAGTGTGTGCGTATAATTCCAGATACTTGGGAGGCTGAGGCAGTAGACTTGCTTGAACCTGGGAGGAAGAGTTGCAGTGAGCCGAGATTGTACCACTATGCCCCAGCCTGGGCAACAGTGAGAGTCTCTCAAGAAAAAAAAAAATAGATATATGTCATTATACATTTGTCAAAACCCATAGAATGTACAATACCAAAAGTAAAGCAACTCTTGATGATGTGTAGGTTAATTGGTTGTAATATATATAATATATATATTATATATATTTTATATAATATATATTATATATACATATATATTATGTATATTATATAATATACATATGCATATATATATATACACTGCTGTAGTGTGGCATGTTAATAGTGAGGGAGACTCTGTGTAGATGTGTGTTGGGAGCAGGGTGGGGCTGATCAGATAGGTATAGAAACTCCCTGTACCTTCCACTCCATTTTGCTGTGAACCTAAAACTGCTTTCAAAAATAGTCTATTGAAATACTTTTTAAGAATATCTTATTTGTCTTCCTGCCTCAGAAATACTAAAATTAACCTTTCTACAGTAAAAACGAAATTTTAACTAAATGATTATTTAAAATACCAGTGCTGGCCAAACATGATGGTTCATGTCTATAATCCCAGCACTTTGGCAGGCAGAGACAGGAGGATCACTTGAGCCCAAAAATTCAAGACCAGCCTGGGCAACATAGTGAGACCTCATCCCTACAATAAAAAAAAAATTAGCTGGGTATGGTGGCGCACACCTGTGATCCCAGCTACTCAGGAGGCTAAGATGGGAGAGTCACTTGCACTCAGACCGTCAAGGCTGCAGTAAGTTGAGCTCAGGCCACTGCACTTCAGCCTGGGTGACAGAGTGAGAGTTTTCTCAAGAAAAAACAAACACCCAATGTTTTTCTCCTACATGCAAATTTTTAAAATATAACTCTAAAGTCTAATTCCCCCACTGCCTCTTGTGTGAAAGAAGTAAATTCCTCATTATTTTGTAAAACAAGATGATAAAAATTAAATCACCAAACAGAAAACATGTAAGATCTCCTGAAATGGAGAAGGAGTTGTCAATAATAAACCAAACATTGGCTGGGCACGGTCGGTGGCTCATGCCTGTGATCCCCGCACTTTGGGAGGCTGAGGCGGGCAGATCACTTGAGGTCAGACATTTGAGACCAGCCTGGTCAACATGGTGAAATTCTATCTACTAAAAATACAAAAGTTAGCGGGGTGTAGTGGCAGGCGTCTGTAATCCCAGCTACTTGGGAGGCTGAGGCATGAGAGTCGCTTGAACCCACGAGGTAGAGTTTGCAAAGAGCCGAGACTGCATCCCTGCCCTTCAGCCTGGGCGACAGAGTGAGACCTTGTCTCAAAAAAAAACCAAAAAACAAAAAACAAAAAAAACCCAAAATTTAATTTAAATAGCTAGCAAATGTCATGTGGGTAATAAAAATCTACTTTCCAAATGAATTAATATCTATTATATTTTTTTCTGAACTATACAAATATATGTAGATGACAATGCAGCCATATTAATGAGGGCATATTTTTTCTACCCCTACCCAAATTATTCCTTTATATACACATTTTTTCAACAAAAATAAAATTAAACTACTAAGCATTAACCTATTAATCTACTCACCTGACCATCTTAAGCATAACAATAGGATTTGTTGAGAAATGAAAACTGCCCTTGATTTTTTTCAGTCCGAAGTTTTTCCTTCTAATAGTTGATCAGTTGCAATGTGTGGGCAAGATTGATGGGAAAATAAGAGATGCTGTTTACTCATTGTGGCCCTGTGGTTAGCCATAGAAAATGTTCAGGAAAATCTTTACATGGAGTATCTCATGTTTGTACTAATCGGTAGCTTATTTGTGTAATTAACTTTTCCACAATGTCCTCACAGTGAATTTCAAAAACACAAAGCTGATCCCATCCCCAACTTAAATCTCCTCAATAGCTCTAGCGAATTCAATATAAATTCCTTTACTTGTCATCTAAACTTCTCCATGTCTAGGCCTCTGTCTTCCCCTCTGGCCTTACCTCTCTTAGATCTGTTTTCATACCTAGGTAAGGCAACAGGCAGCTCCTCCTTTTTCCTCCAAGCACAGGCTGTCTCCTTAATGTAGAATAATTTTGCTTCTTCCACTCACACCAATTGGATTCCCATTTCCAGCCCATATCTCTATCCCTGGATTTCTCTATATCTGCACTCTTGGCATTTGGAATGGAAAATTATTTATTGTGAGGAGCTGTCATGTGCACTATATGATGTTTATAGCATTTCTGGCTCCACCCAGTACATGCCACCAGTATCTCTCATCCTTCAGTTGTAACCACCAAAGTGTCTGCAGATAGTAACAGATGTCTCTTGGGAGGAAAATTGCCCGCTGTAAAAACCACTACTCTGAATCCAAGCAGAAGACTTGCTCCGAAGAGACGGATGGCATCACCTGTCCACTGACTATGCAGTGCAGACCATTCCCCACTTAGAGTACCTTGTAACATAACTCCCCTACAGTAGCCTGTTTTTTCTGTACTGCACTGTAACCTCCTGGGCAGCCAGCACTAGGTCTTATCATTCACATTTGAACTTATGAATGAGTACCCACCATGCCACCCAAATTATATCATGCACTCAACAAATGTATGCTAAGCAAATGCTGAATAAATATTAGCAACGTCTTTATAAATATAAAGATGCTAGAATTACAGATTTATTAAGCTTATAGTGATCTACTTAATATTAGACAACTATCCAGCCACAAAATAATACACTTAAACCTTAAAAATAAGCAAGACATTTTAGTCACTTGGAAGTCTGAGTTTAAATTATAATAGGAAATTAATGTCTCAATATTCAAACGGGGCCACTATTTTCAAAGCACAACTGTTGCAATAATACTCATCCTTCCTTCAAGAACGTTCATTAACGTTAAGCTGAGCTGGTCTGCTATGCAGTTCTTGGCAGTCCTATAGTAGAACTGTTCAGTGATGGGAGATGTTAATTAATTATACTATAAAATAGAATTACAATTAATTGTTAATTTAGGTCTTAAAGTGACAAACTTTAAAGGCTAAAAATAGTCTTTGATCTTTAAAAGGCTTCTTAATGAGAGCAGTATACTTTAACTACATCATTAGTTTAAATGTTCAAATTGGGTCTACAGGCTGCTAGAGTTAAGCAAATATCTATTCCGATATGTTAAATGTTTATGACTTGAGACAGGGACAATTAATTGCTAATCAATGGGCCAAATCCTAGGTGAGGTCAGGTTCTGAAATAGAAGGATGACAATAGTAAATTGGATTTAGAGCATTTTGATGTGATCTGTAAAAATCACAGGCAAGCAGAGACTAAAAGAATCACAAGAAGGCCAAACCAGCAGAAACACCCAGATAATTAAGATATTACTCATTTAGTTAATCGTGGCTTTCAAGGGTGTCCTCTGTTTAGATTAATGAGCCATAATTTTTAGAATTATACTTGCATGCCTGTAGTTCAGTTACTTAAACATATAATTCAGGATATAAAATAGTAAAACTCAGCATAGCTTAAAGGGGGATAATACTTAGCAGGTACCTAAGATTAGCAATATTCATAATATAATTTTCAAATATGATCTTGATCAATCATATAATACTTTATTTTCTTAAAATTCAGAAGTAAAATCAATTTATTACTTTAATAAGCATCTTTTTAACAACCATGCAAACCTTCCACTGTCATTGCAGACAGAAAATGCAAGTTGTGCTTATTTTGTGAATGGTGTCTGTTTCAATATCGATAGCTTTCACTAACCCTTAGTTCATGTGAGAGATTCCAGAGACAGAGCTGACCCTCTTGACTTCCAGTCACAATTGTTCTCTGGTCATCAGTGATCATGATGGCAGTGATGCTGTGGGGAGGGGCCTTCTGTCCCCAGAGTGCCACGGCCTGCAGGGAAGTCCTCATTTTGGGTGAATCCTGGACACACAAAGAAGGGAAGAAGCATACATGGTCACATTTTTTAAATTTGAAAAAACTGATAATACTATAAAGCAGATTTATGACGAACCAAACTTCAATGATGTGTTCCTAGGGCTATGGAAAAGGGTACTTCCCCATCAATTAGAAGAGAAGGTAGTCATCAGACACTGAAATTACCATGCACACTGCTAATTCATCGAAAAATAATGACTTATCTTCCAGTTCCTTATTATTGGGAAAGAAAGGAATAGTCTATTCACTTCACACTCAGCTCTTCCTATGGCTACATCCAACTTGCTGCAAAGCCCTGCTAGGCTTCTCAAGAAGCATAGAGCTGTCCACATGGCATAATTTGAAGTCAGCTTTGCAAACTCTCTCTCTTCATCTAGGCAATACCTGAAATTGGGGAATTTGATATTAAAAAATAAATCTTTTCCATAAAAACAATGTTTCCTAGTGTTCAAAGATTCATGTATGACTATCATAATTTATGCCATATTCTATTTTTTTATTAGTATACTTTAAGTTCTGGGGTACATGTGCAGAACATGCAGGTTTGTTACATAGGTATACATGTGGCATGGTGGTGTGCTGAATCCATCGCCCCTCATCTATATATTCTATTTTTACTAATAATTTTTATTTTACCTATTTTTATATTTGGTATCTTCCTAAACAATAATCTCTATGTAATTGCCACATTCATATGTTAGTTGCAAGGATTAAAACGAATACATAAGTATCAAAAAATGTTGTCTGTGACCACCTAAAATATCACTCAGTGATGTGTGCATTAAATTTTGTGAAACACTGAATTAAATATTCTCCCCAAATGGGCATTCCTTCCTGAAACACAAACAATTTTGGGAGGCAATTTAGCATTATATATTTAACCCATTAAAAAATGTCAAAAAGAGAGGCAGAATGTGCCAAGGATACTTCCCACATTTGCTTTGAGAAAGTCAAGAAAATGAAAACTTTCTGTCCTGCAGGATTTCTGGTACTAAAGCACCAAAAGGATAAATACCATTATATATTTTAAAACTTATGATACATGTTATTTCTAGTGTTCATTTATATCTATTTATACACACACAAATATACATAAACATGGGTGTGCCCTGACACTATGAACACAAACTTCCCTTGTAGTTCCATTGTTTGGAACTCAGTGTCTAGCTCCCTGTTGTTATCTTCTTAGGTCAGTATGTGAGTCTATCTAGTCTAGAATATACTTGTATTATCTAACTGCCTTATCCAAGCACCATGAAACCGAGGTTTCTATAGAAAATGTTCTGAGCATTGTGATTCTGAATACCAGGATTATCCATATTATTCATACTGCCAAGCTAACCAGAGAGTTCTGATTTAAATAATACTATAACTGGAATGTGGACCTCCTTCTGCTTCAAACACAGAGAAAAATGCATTATTTGTATTTTTTAAGTTGTTGCTTCATGGCCAAGCTTACAAATAAGTCTAGAAAATCCCAAGCAGTAAAAAACTAAGAGAAACCTGAAAAATGGCGCAATAACTATTGGAACTAAATTAGTATGTGGCTTTTTTGGCTAGGAGTTTGCATGTTAGTCCCTATGTAAGGGTAGGAGGCAAAGCTCTCAGAAGTATCCTTGCTCAATAAAAGGGGAACAGAAAAACTACCCCAGGAAGATAAGAAAGCTTATTTTCAAATCCCCCAAGAAAAATTTCTCAAGCCTGAATTACAAATGGGTTGGAAGTGAAAAAAATTAAAATTAAATAAAAATTTTAAAAAGTATTATACACAATTCCAGAATGGATTTCTTCACATGGGGATTCTGGAATTATGTATAATGCTTTTTAAAATTAATTATATATAAGAAATTGTTCACAGGTCAATGATACTATTGGGAGGCTTGTCAGAAACACTACAGATCTATTTGAATATCTACATTTTATAAAAGACCATGACAAACGTTGATTGTCACACCTGTAATCACAGCACTTTGGGAGGCCACGGTGGGTGGAGCACTTGAGGCCAGGAGTTTGGGACCAGCCTGACCAACATGGTGAAACCTCCTCTCTACTAAAAATACAAAAATTAGCCAGGCGTGGTGGCGTGCACCAGTAATCCCACCTCGGGAGGCTGAGGTGGGGAAAATTGCTTGAACCCAGGAGGTAGAGGCTGTAGTTAGCTGAGATTGTGCCACTGCATTCCAGCCTGGGCTACAGAGTGAGACAGAAAAAACAAAAACAAAAAAACATGACAAGTGTTAAGAACAATGTACAGCAGCTGGAACTTATACATTAATGGCAAGAATGTACAATGGAAAACAGTTTGGCAGAAAGAGGTCAGTGATTGCCTGGGGACAGAAAGAACAAAGAAGAGTGAGATTACAATGGGGAGTAAGAAAACTTTTGAATGTGGTAGATCAGTTCATTATTTTAATTATGGTCATGGTTTCATGAGTGTATACATATATCAAAACTTAATCAAATTTTATACTTTAAATGCATTTATGTATACACAAATATTGTGTGGGTCAATTATACTTCAATAAAGTTGTTTAATGTTTTACTTAAGGCATTCTGAAAGACACTCTCACCATCAAGAGTGAAAAGGATTTCCATAAGACAAATAGCCCCGGTAGCAAATAAGCTTACCATAAAAAATTACAAAACATCCAAGAATGTAATAAATCATGAGCAAACAGAAAGATTAGTACCCCAGGAACTAATAATAAGTGAACAATCTAAAATGTATTTCAAAAGAACAAATATAATAAATTATTATAAATCAATAAATAGGTCAGGCTCAGTGGCTCACGCCTGTAATCCCAGGACTTTGGGAGGCTGAGGCGGGTGGATCATGAGGTCAAGAGATGGAGACCATGCTGGCCAACATGGTGAAACCCCATCTCTACTAAAAATACAAAAAAATTAGCTGGGAGTGGTGGCGCACTCCTGTAGTCCCAGCTACCCGGGAGGCTGAGGCAGGAGAATTGCTTAAAACCGGGAGGCGAAGGTTGCAGTGAGCCGAGGCCACGCCACTGCGCTCCAGCCTGGTGCCTGGTGATAGAGTGAGACTCTGTCTCAAAAAACAAACAAATAAATAAATAAATAGACAAAAGATGAAGTTAAAAAAAAACCAAAAACCTACAAAAGGTAGACTTTTAAAAGGAACAAACATTACTTCTAGAAATAAAACATAATCATTAAAATGAAACAAATCTAAATAAGACAAATCAGAATAGACCCCAGCGAAGGGAGAATAATGAACTTAAATACAATTTTCAGGAAGTTTCCCAAAATACAGCAAGAAGTCATTAAAAAACTGAAAATGTTGAGTAAAAAGAATTCAGAAACGTTAAAATTAATCAGAGATCTTAAGAGATATAGATGCTAAGTGAAAGACCCAATATGTATTTAATATAAGCTCTAAAAATGATAGAACCCTTTCCCTTCTTTGCTAATTCAGTCCTAAAGCCATCAGGTATTAATAGAACAGAGCAGGAATGGAGTGCTGGAGTTTAAATAGTATGAGGAGGGCATCAGGATAACAAGACTGTGGAGTCAGAGCCTAGGGAGGGTGAGTAAGGTGTCCAAATGTGGGGCCAGCCACCAAGCAGGGTGAAGAGGAATGATGCATACGTAGTTGTCTGGCACTGGGTACTGGAGCACAAACAAGTGAGAAAGGAGCTCACACAATGAGGTTCCTCAACAAGGAGTGTCAGGAGCCTAAGAGCGGTGAGGATAGTGAAGGAAGTGGCCCTGCTGTGAGGAGCCAGAGCCTGGGCAGGGTGGGGAAAACATACATTTATTTACAAGGATGGTCTGGCACAAAATGTTGAAGCCAAAGGAGGATAGGAAGGCATGCACACTGGGGGATGTTCAGTATCATGAGAACACTGGTAGGGTAAGAAAGGTTGCTGCCTGAAAGTGTAATCAGACATAGTAAAGGAATACAGGGGTAAGCAGGATATTCACACATTGGGCAGTGGGCAGTGAAATTGCCTCCTTCGCCACCCCTGCAACACATGCATAAGACCAAAGTCCACAAGGAGTGTCAAAGCCATAAAATGATCAGGAGGACATCCATACAGAGGACAGGGCAGCACATTTACAGGAAGTTGATTACATAATAGACTGATCAAATAATTAGTATATTGCTTATTTATAATAGGAACCAGATTTCTTATTGTTTACTGTTAGATTAAAAGACTTAGAAATACGGAAAGGAAGAAACTTGAATGATCCCTGTGGTACTGGAGTTGAATTGGAGGAATCGGGTTTTATTGGGAAACTGGTTGATTCCAGTTCTGGAACAGGGAATCACAATATGATACTGGACTATATTGCCGTTAAAACAAGGAAGTGCTCAAAGAGTGAGGACATATCAGAGGGACACAGAAGTCTGCTTGCAGGAGCTCCCACTGACCGAACCATGAAAAATTTGAGCATCAAAATAAATAATGCTAGCAACAGACGAATAAATTGATTAAACTTACTAGTTAAAAGACAAAGATTCTCAGTTACAATGTCCTACTATATCTTACTTACAAAAGATTCCTAAAGTATTAGAAAGGTTTAAAATAAAGAGATGAATAAGAATGTACCAGGCAAATAGTAATAAAAGAATAATAAACTGATGTAATATTGGACAAAATGTGCTTTAAAGTAAAACCACTGTTGGGGGGGCTGGTCACTATATAATGATTAAATAAGTCATTTACCTGAAAAGAATAATAGTCTCTAGGTAATCAACAGCGGAGTCTCAAAATCCATAAAACACAATAATGTATAATTACTAAGAGAAGTTGGTGAATTAACTATGACAGAGGAAGATTTTACTTCTCTCAATCAGTAATAAACAGATCAAGCAGACAAAAATAAAATAAGGATTTTAAATACTTGAACCACATAATTTGTATTAGTAATATGATGAAAATATATAGATTCCTGCACCTAGAAATTAAATAAAAATACATTTCAATGAAAACATGCATATAACATTTATAAAGCTGTGATGCTGTTGGACCACAAAACAAATCTCAAAACATCTTAAAGGATTAATACCACTTAGGCGACATTATCTGACCACAATCAATAAAAATCTGACATTGCCTCCTTCCCCACCCCAGCAACATATGCATAACACAAAAGTTTGAAATATTTCCTGTCTGAATGTTTGGAAACTAAAAACAATTCTAAAATATTCTACCAAGAAAATATAATATAAATTAGATGCAATTAAGAACCAAAAGAATAAAAATTTTGTACAATAAAACTTGCCAGATGTAGGTTTTGTATGAAAAGGAAATTATAGCCTTAAACATATATATATGTACACAAACATATATATATATATGATACTAAGAAAGAAGACAGCAAATGAATGAGTAAATAACACCCAAAGTAAACCCTTACATAAAAGAAGAGCAGGGTAAATACAAAGAATGCAAAAGGAAACAATGTGGACAAAACTACATGTTGTTATAAAAAGAACAACAAAGGAGAAATAATTCACAAATCAAACCCAGTCTTTTGAAAAGATAAATAACATGAGGAAATCTGTGGC